TGGTCTTTTCCTGTTGGTATACCGATCAGTATTTTACGCGCCGTTCGATCCACCCCCCCCCCATGCACGCCACGTGACCTGCCCATCTTAATTGGCGTGATTTTATGACATTAATGATGTCCAGTTTTGTTTTACAGTCAGTGTACTTCTACGTTATGGGGTTTTCTCCATTCACCCGTTTCCTCATGGCGTTTTGCACCGAACAACTTTATTTTCGGAAACTCTCAATTTCGTGACCACGTTTCGGTACCATAAAGGACTACCGGTAGGATGATTGTCCTGTATAGCTGAGTAATTTATTGAACAAATATGTCTATAATATACCTTGTTTTATTTATAAATGAAATACTTACAGAGAAAATCGGTAAGCCACTGTGGCTGATCGTAATGCTCGACGGCTACGCAGACGGTGTTAAAGAACACGAGGACGATGACGAACCAATAGAAATTCTGCGATTTCACGGAATTACGTATCCAAAATCGGAACCTCTTCTCGGCTCGCCAAAATTGCATACACGTTCCTTTGTTTTTCACCCTCGACTTGAAATAGGAAGGTCTTGAGAACCCTACAAAAGTATAAATTAATTACATTATTATTTTGTACTGTGAGAAATAGAAATGAAAATTATACGATGTTGTATTTGTTTCTCTAAAAAAGAAAAAAAAACCAGTCGATTGAGATCTTTCTCTGCTTTCGATGGATACACCTGTTACGATTTACGATTTCAACTATTTACAAAGTATAAATCAATTAAGAATATATAGAAAAAATTATGTACAAAATTTCTAATCAATTTTTTTTTTTTTTTTTGAAAAAATGACAATGCATTGATGTAGGAGATACGATTAATTCATGATTATGAAACGCTACTTTTACATTGTATTACGGAATAAAGATTGAGATTAAATTATTTTGAAAAACGTGCACAGGGATTGATTTTTAATAATAATATAATAACGTTTAAATTAATTATCATTAACCAAATTAATAATAATGGTAAACAACCGTTGTTTTTTTCCCCGTTAATTTGAAAAAATCTGCTTGCTAACGAGCTAATATTTGATTAAAAAATAAAATATAGGAAGTGACTTTACCGATCATTTTGAAATATCCATCTTCTCCTACGAAATAAATTTAATTTACATTTTCGACTGAGGAAAAGATCTTTTTTTCTTCTTGACTAAATTATTTTTACCATATAAATACATATAGTTCTATTCTAACAATAATAGTAATAATCAAATTAATAATAATAATAATAATAATAATAATAATAATAATAATAATAATAATAATAATAATAATAANTAATAATAATAATAATAATAATAATAATAATAATAATAATAATAATAATAATAATAATAATATTAATAATATTAATAATAATAATAATAATGAAAATACTCTACAAAGCAGGAATCACTATAATTGGGTCAGAGCAATGCGTATAAGATACTAATTAATTACTAATATATTCAATGTATCCAGAGGCTATCTAATTAATAGAGGCAAACAGAGTATATTATCTATTAGGTTAGGATCTTGCATAAATATGTTCTACTTTATAATGACAACTTTTTTCCTCTGACAATACTAACTAATATAAGTTTAACACTTCTACAAAAATTTGCTGTTCACAGGAGTTCAGTTTTAGCTTGCTTGTAGTATTTAATAAGTGACAGTTGTTGTAATCGAAAGAGAATGAAAATAATAAAACGGTAAGGAAGATTATTAAAAGACAAAAAAAAAAGAAAGAAAGAAAAACAAAGTAAAAAGAGACTGAAATGAATTTGTGTTCCCATCATTGCACCAGTTGGTACCTAAACGATATTTAATATCGTAAACGAGACGAAACACTCGCGATTGGATGATAATAACGAACGAAAGAAAAAGTGATAGATAGTACAAAACGATGTTGTAATAAAAGATCGATCCTGTATAGATTTGTTCGCAAGTGTTTCGTAATTTATAAATAATGTAATATACAAATATAAATATATATATATGTAACGTGTGTGTCGTTACATTAGCCAATAGAAGAAGCATTTACCTAGAAAGTAAAATCAATTAGCCGTAACTAATGATCCGAGCGTGTGTATTATATCTGCCATGACTTCTCGAGGCTAATGAGAATTTCTACGCAACAGGGAGAATTCATTTGCTTCATATTAATTACAATCAGCGACAATTGAATATACGCATATTTATTGTGTCGATTCTATCTATTAGATTGGTGCTTATGAAATGTACAAAAGCTGTAAATATGCTCCATTCGCTTCAATATAGTTTTCTCAACATAAATGCCATTCTTAAAACAATTCTGATCTTTAGAATCAATAAACTCTGATATTGCATTTTTTAAACTGTCTTCATCTTTATATTATTTAACCCATAAAAAACTGGTGAATAAGCTAGCTACGGCATTACTTCATATTTCAATTAAATCTCATCAATGTACTGGCAATACTTTTCGGCCGTAATTGTCTCTCCTGTTCAAAGGAACGAGTAATGGACTAGTACACTAGTCACATTCCACCAAACAGTGATTAAAATCTTCCATGGATGAAATGATGGTCTTGGAGTATGAGTACAAACTTCATCCCTATCAAACCACCAAGCACACCTTTTTCTGTTGTCGTAAAGAACCCATTTTTCATCACAGGTAATAATCCGATCGAAAAATGGCTCTCGATGTAATCGCGTTAGTAACGACGAGCATACGTTTAACCGATTCGGTTTGTTTCGCTCGGTTATTTCGTGCGGTACCCACTTATTCATTTTTTTCACCTTGCCAATTTCAGAAAGATGTCGTAATATCGTTGTACTGTCAACTTTCATCCTGATAGCAAGTCCCCTCGTGGATACAGTTGGATTTGCTTCCACCAATGCCTTCAGATCATCATTTTCCACGGTTGTTTTGGGTCTTCCTCGCGGCTCGTTTTGTGTTGAAAAATCACCAGATCGAAATTTTTCAAACCAACTCTGCACTTTTTGATTGTTAACATTATTCTCCCTAAACGCCTAGTTTATGTTTCATGCAGCTTTTGCAACATTATGACCAAGTTTATACTCATACAAGAAAATGACACGAATTTCGATACAAAATTCAAAACAAATAACAAAAAAGGAACACTTTTGGGAAAATCTCCTATGTTAAAATGTTACCCTGGCAATGGACAGATTCATATGCACCAATCTAATATTTTTATACACGGAAAGGAATATAAACCAATACGCTCTTACTGTCTAATCATTTTTTCACATAAGAAAAAAAAGAAACAAAAATAGAAATAAAAAAAAAAGAAATTTACGTGAATGATAATGTAAGATAATAATAATACTGTTCTATCATGCTATTCTGTGCACTTCACGGCATGAGGCTTGCAGCGATATGTATAAAATTAGAGTATCTGAAATCTATCTACTTGGACAATTGCCTTGTCGTCCAGATGTTGAATAGTATGCTCTGCAGCAGTCGATTACGCGCCAGCATACATACTTATACGCAATTATGTCAATGAATCTATGTATGTATGTATGCTTGTCTGTGTTGATAGAGTATTTACGTGTGCATGAGAGTGAGTGTGAGTGATTTACTGAATGTATTTATCTATTCGTGTACGTGTGTGTGTACGCACGTATATCACGTATATCATGTATGCACTTTGATACGTGAGTGCAGATACGAATACCTGTAATAAGAATTGCAATATGATAATTACCACATTGAATCAACTATCTAGCAAGTTTTACATATTTTTTGCTTTATAATAACAAAAAACATCGATCACAAATGATTCACATGGTGATCAATGTATTAAATCATTTTTATTGGAAAAAAATAAATTATATTTGTATATGTATAACATATTTGATTAACTCATACGTTTCTGCACGCACGTACCTATGTATGTGTATTTATGACTATGTTTGTTACGTAAAAAAAAAAAAGAAAAAAAAAAGGGTAGAGAAAAGTGTATTACGTTAATAAAAATGAAAATACAAATAAATAAACAATGACGTATAAAATATATATATATAGGTATGTATATATATATATATATACAAATACAGCCTTTGATATTACGTTGCTCTTTACGACAAGTCGAAGCATTCACACAGTGGTAGTTACCTTTGAGTTTTTTCTTAGGCACTGAAACAAGAGGATCATCTGATAGCGTACGTTTAGAATGTTCATCGACAAGTTCATGGGAAGTTGGAGTATTGTTCTTTTTGATGCAATAAATATAGACATACATTAATAACGTGTCAACAATATGTCGGTGAATATGAAATATGCAAACGTGCCAATAAGTGAATAAAATGCTCATAGAAATTCAAGGATGTAGAATAGTAAGATAGAAAATACGAGATAACGTTTCGTACATCGACGATATTTTACTTTCGATCGATTTCTTTTTTGCATATGCACGATATTTACAATGTTTTACATCTTTGTAAAAAAAAAAAAAATTGGAGATAGAGAGAGAGAGAGAGAGAGAGAGGAATTTGATTTTATTTACGATGAGAAAAAAATCGTCAGACGAAACGCATGCTCTTACTACTTAAAAATCGTTTAAATCCTTTATCTACTGATAATAAATTCATTTTCATATAATATAATTATAATACAGTATAGAAACGTCCTATCATTCGAATATCACTCCAAAGAAAAAATAATTAATAGTTATAATAATGTTAATAATAAGAACAATATGATAGATTAACCAGTTAACTGTAACTAACAAGTATACTCGTCATGGGTATAAAGTAGTGACCATTGGTTATTTAAATTGTAATTTTTGAGAAAAAGGAAACATTTCGAAATGTTTAGAATATTTTGAGGACATGCCGGAATAAAACAAACAAATAAAAAATATAAATAATTTGAGATGAACTCATGCGTCCCCGTGTGCATCAGCTGATGAAACTGCTAAAAACGAATTTATTTATGTGTCAATTTTATAAAATAAACCTATCATTTTGATCCAATATTTTATCAGCCCAACTTACTCTGTGATTGACGAGTATACTCGTCATGGCTCGATTCTAGCGACACCAAACGGTGCGCGCTCTTAAATGAGGGCGCCACAGTTAACCGGTTAATATATAACCTTAATTTGAAAAATAGTCGAAAGAAGACAATACTTTTGACGTTGTCAAGAGAGAGAAAGAGAAAGGTAGATAGATAGATAGATAGATAGATAGATAGATAGATAGATAGATAGAGAGAGAGAGAGAGAGAGAGAGAGAGAGAGGTAATTANAGATAGATAGATAGATAGATAGATAGATAGATAGATAGATAGATAGAGAGAGAGAGAGAGAGAGAGAGAGAGAGAGGTAATTAAGAAATAGGAAAAATACAACTCACCATCGTCCTGGTCATCCTCGGCGTCTTCTTCCTCCGTATCGGTACTTTTGCTCTTTCCAAGATTCTTTAATTTTTTCTTTTTCGCCTGGGCCCTTTTTCTCACTACGCGATTAAACAAATCAAAAATTGTTTAAACAATGTCGTATAAATTATTTTATTTAAAATAATTGAAGATATTATTAACTCGTATATAAATGCACGAGTGTCCGCAAGTGGTTGAAATAAGGAAGGGAAAGGAGATGCCATTTTCTGGTAAATTAAAAATAATTTTTATAAAAATTATATTAAAAAAAAAAAAAAAGAATAAGTAGAAAAAGAAGAAATCCTTCTCAATTTACATCTACCTTGTCGCTTAGTGAGAAAGCTTTAATACTAAAAGGTGTGTAAATATCAAAGTATACATTTCAATCAATCTGAGTGACATTTTATGTCATGGTTTCCTCTTAGAAAAAAAAAAAAGATAAGAAAAGGAAGGAAAAGTAATCTTACGGACACTTTTGCATATAAGATTACTTATCGGTACATTAAAAGGAAAAATCTAAGGCAAACCTTCTAATATGTGCATCTTTTCCTCTTCCGTGGTCCTCTCTTCGGCGAGAATTACCTCTTCTGAAATTCAAGTAGTTATTTACGGTCATTCAGTAAATTTTCTTACGATAACAAACGATAATGTCTTTTTCGACTATTTAATTATGAAGCATAATAAACTCGCGAAATATTGTATTTTATTTTTGTTTAATTTACCTGCACGACCACCATAAAACAACACATAATAAATACATAGTATTATTTCTTTCTAGCGATGTCTCTAAATACTGGTTGAGTAAAAATAGAAACAAAAAAAAAACAAGAAAAACCAAGAAACTAGTTAAGTTTTCTGGCTTAGATAAGGAAAACTAGATTTACAATAAAAAAGTCGTAAAAGCTAGTGGATTAATCCGGAGTGAATTCACGTCCGACGTTTACCAATCGTGTAGCATCTCTAACCTGCTTTGCAGATCCAATTGAGGTAGCAATTCAGTTCGCGCTCGAGCTGCTGTTGTCTTCGCAATTTCAGGAAGGTTTGCCGGTTCTCCACCTTCTCTCTCTCCTTCGCAAACTCTCTACAAGCGTAGCAGCAAAGGTTCATACATATATGCAATGTTTCTAAGTATGTGTATGTGTACTCGAAAGAGAGAGATCATTTTTTATTATACAACATGTTAAATGGAACAAGAAGGGGTTGGGGCAGGTTTAGCAAGGTATGTTAAAGTAGGACAACTATGCAATGGGCAAATAATTTTTAGTTAGGTCATAATCCGTTCGATCGAACGATTATTGTTCGAACGGTTAAGAAAAAATACATTATTTGGAAATTGTGTATAGGTAAATTAGCATGTATGTGTTTCGCACATACGCATACTCGAATCAATGATAGGAAATCGGATCTGAGGGAGATATAAACCGATTAGCCTTTACTCTCTAGCTTACTCCGAACTTGAGCTCTTTGTTCACACGACACCTCGATATATCTAATTAAAAGCGATATATATATGTATATGTATAATATGTATCGAAAGCTAAAGACAAGTAACAGATCCGTTAGTGTTGAAACCTGCTTGAGTGATCCATTTTAAGTAGGAACTGAATGCGGTAGTGAAGAGACGTTTTCGCTTTGCTTTCTGATAAGCCGCTCGCCTCTCAACTCGCGTTCTTTCGTTAGAAAACTCCCTGACGAAAAGATAAGAAATTTGATTTTACTTTTATCTATCGGTTCATTACTCATTCATTTTTATTTTTTATTTTTAATCCTCGATCGTAGACTTCGTTACAAATTAAAATAAATAAATAAAATGTTTTTTTTTTCTTTTACAAATGTAAAAACACGCGTGCGTAAAATTATTGGACGAATTCAAGTTATTGAAATATTAAATTAAATCGGATTTATTAATGGGAATTTGATTAAAATTTGTCGATTAATTTTTATTGGATGATACATACCCGCTCAGGACACCAAGAACTAAGTTCAGCATGAAGAAGGAGCCAAGGACGATCAATGGTATAAAGTAAATCCAGTTGTACGTGCTTCCAAGAGCGTCGTTTGTCTGCAAATTTGACCAGAGCCACGTGAAGCCGGTATTACATGTGCGAGCATGGTGCACCAGATACACAGCTGTACGCATATCAATCAATGACAAAAGAACATTATGCGACATTAAGACATTTAGACATACGGTTTTCTTTTGTTTTCTTTTACTTTCCGTTCCGTTTTATCACAGAAAAAAAAAAATTATAGCACATTGACACGCGGGTTTTAATATCCGAATTGTTCCTTTGAAAAAATACACGAAAATTTGGAATCAAATAGCATTTAGAAATTGTAATAAGCTAATCGAACAATTTGTTTGTCAAACAAATATTATTTTCTTTGCACACATATACGTTTCATTCAAATTTCCCATAACACGATTAATTTGTTTCACGTTGGATCAAATTCGCGTTTAATTGTAAACTAAATGAAATGGTATAATCGAATCATCAAAGGTTTGTCTAATTTTAAATTTATTAAATGGAAAGTTATTTATAGGAACCGTGTTATAAGAGGGTTTGAGTGTATACTTTGTGTGAAAATTATAAACGTCACTTTAAGATTTTGTAATGGATCGATACGATCGATATATGTATACACACAAATATATGAATATATTAATATAATATATATATTATAATGAAACATTAAGGTTGTAGCAAAAGAGGGCTGAAACTGACAGTGTTATACTGAGCAAGGTGAACATATACGTCAGTGTTAGCTGATTATCATCTTTGCAAGCATATTTATTACGATCTTCAAGCTCGACCAACGGCTAGGTTTTATTTTTTTCTTATTTTCTTTCTTCTTCATCATCATCATCATCATCATCATCGTAAATCGAGAGCAAAGAAAAATAACAAAAGATTAAACAAACAAAAGAAAACGAATTATAAATGTACGAAGAACAAAAACATGGTGGAAGTGAAACCTTCAAAAAACTGAGCTTTGAGAGAATGAGACGAATGCACAGTATCAAAAGTAAGGGTTTATTTATAATAATATTATTACCATATATATAAAAGGACACCGGTATGAATTTGGGGTAAGGGTAGCTGACAAAAACTACCACTTTCCAAATTTTAGCAATCAAGATGGAACGTTGAATGCGATAGCCATAAATAGACACAAATATCGTAGGATGTTTGATACCCTGTCATTAACTAATTAAATATAATATATCCTTTTTGTGAAACTCAGGTATATGATAGTGTTTCTGTGAATTTGAGATATCTTTATCATGGGTCAACACACTTTAGATGATTGACAAAGAACGGAACAATTTTAGTCCTAGTTTTTTCGTTTCATCGATTTTTGAATCACAACCACTCTAACGAAATTTTCTCTCCAAAAATTGTTGAAAAAGACAGTAGACATTATTATTAATATTATTAATTATTAAAAATGTATTTAATTTGAAATGATCGCTTAATATCTACTGTAAAAGAGCTCCGCTTCTCCAAGCTCCCATTTATTGAGTAAAAGGTGTGAACGATCATCAGTTTTCCAATAATATTCTGAATTGTCGTGACGTTTACAATAGAGAGCTACAATTCCTTATCGAAGTTACATCGACTCAGCCTTACTGAGAAGATTTGAAGATATATTACAGATATGATCCTGTAAAAAGAGATCTTAAATTTTTCTAATACTGGAGTCTTATGTAGAGACTATATTTGTGAGAAACGTGGATAGCCTAGTGGCCAGTCGAAGAACTAAATTATATTTTTAAATGTGTGTATTGAGATAATATGATTCTACATTTCGTAGTATGCAGTTGCACACAAACACACACATATACAACGCTAAGTATCCAGGAGTGTGGACTACGAAGCAATGCATAAAGAGGAAACCGAGATAATAAGAAACAAATGTATACTACTGTCTTCTATCTCATTCTCTCTTAGGCTCAATCCTATGTTTGTCTCTCTTTCGAAATGTTTCGTCGCATTCTTCGTTACAGCGTTTCATCGTTTTCAAATCAACCCGATTCTTAAGAAGTTTTCACTTTAAAAATAACATCAATGACATCGAACAAAATAAAATAAAAAATAAAAAAGAGTGCAAGGGGAAAAAACACTCAGACGTTTTAATCAAATATAAAAATATTAACAAATACGAGCAATTGTTAAATTAATTAGTGTAACACGTAAAAACAATACATGATGCATACAAAATTATAAAAAAAAAAAAAAAAAAAATAATAAAAACATAAGAGATAAGTGAAATACTGAAAAAAAAAACGATTGAATCTTAAGTTCGACAAATAACTTTTTAAATTCTAACCTAACTTTTTTTGTAATCGAACCAAATAAATGGATTCGATCATCGAACAAAGATTCAATCATTTTGTAAGGAAAAAAATGACAATTCATCTAGCCACGTGGGACAAAGCTTGAGCAAAAGTTCATATCAATGAAAAAATATCGAAAGGACCACATTCAAATAGATAAAACATCGTCGTGTACGCAATTGTTATGCGTATACAAAGTCATTTATAAAAATTGATTAGAATATTGAGACACATAAAAAATAAACAGATATATAGAAATGGACAGATAGGCATAGAAAAATATCAATATTCATATATATAAAAAAATAGATAGAGAAATATTTAACACTGATGAACATATCTCTTGCTTTACCCAGTACAATATGGAAGTCCAGCCCTCCATAGTGATGCACTGGAAGACAGTGAGCATAGCGAATCCGATGTTGTCAAAACTGGTGATGCCGTAGTTTGGTCCCACCCAATGATCCAAACACGTTGAGGTGCTCGAGTTGCACACGTGGGCACCGAACGGTGCCTCCGATTGAATGTCCGTGTTACACGGGTCTGGAGTCTCACCTTCCTTCACGATCACACCTACATGACAGAACAAACAAAAAACACCAAAAAAAAAACGAACAAACAAAGGGACAGAGAGAGAGAGAGAGAGAGAGAGAGAGAGAAATTAAATGGTAGGAAAGAAGAAGAAAAAAAAACAAAAAATATTTTCTTTGATTAGCATTGATAAGAAATATATTAGAAAATAAAAATATATATTTTTCGTTTGTAAAATAATTCACCCGATGTCGGGGGTTTCTAAACCTTTGAGTGCTGAATACTTTTATCTAAAATATTATGTAGGAACGAAATAATTTATTATTAACCAAATTTTAATAATAAATTATATTTAATAATTAAAGTTTTTGTTTTTGAATGTAATTTAATTTTATTAATATAAATATTACATTATTTTATTGGGTTGTTCTGAAAATTCGTGCCGATTTTGACAGAAGATTGAAATGCAACCCATTTAAGTTTTTTTTTGTTATATATTTATTACATAATAAATATTACTATACATATTAATTATTACATAAATATATATAATAATATAATAACTTTAATATTTCGTGCTTCCAGAACTTTTCAGGTTTTTTAGCAAAAGAACTTTAATGCCATCTATCAAAAATCGGCACGAACTTTCCAGACAACCCAATACATTAATATTAACAAATACGTCGAATAACCATGCTAGTAATTTTTATCAAACGCATATATGCGTTTATAGCACTTAAAGGGTTAAAAATGACCCGACAAAAAATATACTCACTGATGTCCTTTATACTGTAACACGTTTTATGCAGTGTTCCCGAATAAAACTCAAGACCGATGATGGCGAATATCACGATCGCGAAAAGAACCAGTAATCCGATCTGCAGAAGCGGCGCCATTGCTTTTATGATGGACTTCAACACCACCTGAAGACCTGTTAGGAAGATAAGAGAGAACGGCGAGGAGTAATTAGCCCGAAAAATCGTCCCCACTCGGCATCACGACTAACACGATTAATATTTTTCTTTTTTTTTTGTTTTGTTTCTTTTTCATATTTTCTTTCTTTCGTTTTTTTTTTCTTTTCTTTTCATTTTCTCATTTTAATTTTTTTTTTTGGCCACCGTCGTCACGACGCTTCTTATTTTGAAAACCGCACTCTCTCGGCGCGTCACATTTCTATTTTTTTTTTTTGCCGCTGCTCGAGAAAGGTTTATTTTAATACAATTTTTGTTTTACTTTTCTTTTTGTCCAAACGTGTTACACACACGTGTGCAAAATATCTACAAAAATATATATATATATTAATTATTTATATAATATATAAATATGTATTAATGATAATAGAAAATAGTTATTAAAAAAAAAAAAAGAAAAAAAAAGTTTATAGAAAATTTGGAAAAAAATTACTGTATAAATTTATACTCGACAGAATTACCAATTACAAACTTCTCACCGTTCTCGCACAAAATGTTCCTGCGCACTAACGATTAAGGTACCTCAACGATATATCTAAACACAACATACAGCCCTCAAAGAGCATCTAAATGGGTATCAAAAATACTACGTAACGTAACCTAAAGGAAAAGAAAAAAAAATTTGCTAAGTCGTTGCAATGCCATCTACGTGTACGTGTGTTGGTATTAAACGTTGCAATCAAGAATACTACGCTCATCTACGAATTGAAATAATTAATTATATGTCCGACAGTAAATGCCCGTCGAGATTCGCACTTTAATCAAATCTAAATTCTATTCGATATTTAATATAGTAGGTTTACAATGTATACAAAATATGCATATATATGTATATTAATAAATACATATAGATGTATATACCACAGATATATGCGACAAACGTAGTCCAACGTGGACGAATTATAATAATAATGTATATTTAACGTGAGATATCCGAATCTTAGGCGCAGGAAAATTTTCATACGAGCGAGTTCTCGAACAGCGGTCTTTTCACACATTTTCATCTTCATTATCATCATCATTATCATCATCATTATCATCATCATCATTATCATCGTCATCATCATCATCATCATCATCTCCATTATTGTTATCTTCGTCATTATTATCATCATAATCTTCTTCATTATTATTATCATCATCATTGTTATCATTATCATCATCCTTATCATCCTTATCATCCTTATCATCTTCATCATCATCATCAATCATCATCACCATCATCATCATCATTATTATTATTATTAATATTATTAGTTCACTATTAATATTGGGTATGATTTATTATTAAATAAGATATTATTTAAATGTTTATTAATTGTTATCATTAATCCGTTAGTTGCCCATCTTTCGTTGAAAAAAAGCTTCGTCTCGAAAGATAGGGGTTAAGGGGATTAGTAAAAAGAATGAGACTCTCGTAGTCTCGTATTTTGTATTTGTTAGTTTTGTTCTCGGCCAGTTTCTTTCTTACTTTTTTTTTGTTTGTTTGTTTTTTTTTTTTTTTTTT